CATATATATATATATCTAATCTTCTATCCTTCAACTAGATATTAAGATTGTTTCTGTTTCAGTTGAAGAGAGGGTATATTTCACATTTGAAGCCCGGACTATGGGACCATGGATGGGAATGCATAATAAGGATGGAATTTTCACAGACACAAACAGTTCAGCAATGTTATGAAGATTCTATGGAAACATTGAAGATGCTCTAATAACACCAAGACAAAAAAAGAAGTCAATATAATCTTTGATTGTGATAGATATTTAGATTTGTTAAATAATAACTGTTTTTCTTATTAAATAATAAATTTACAACTTTTTGTCATTTGTATTTAGCTCAAGGGACGTTATCATAACTTTAATTGACATTATTTTAGCGTCATTTAAGAGTAAAACTACATTAATGAAACGTCATTAAAATGTTCATAGATATAATTTTGACGTCATTTAAATGTTAAGTGACATTATTTAAATGTCATTGAGATGTTAAGTGACATTATTTGAAGGTCATTGAAATGTTAGGTATCGTAAATATGGATCTGATTGTGGGTAAATTGTAACATTAAATATTGTCATTATGATGACTCAAAACATACAACTTGACATCAAACAGACATCAAATTGACATAATTTTAGGATATTTGGCTTCAATCTAATATTGTATATGAATAAAAATCAATAAAGCAATGCACTGAGTTTCTCAAATATTCNTGTCCGTTGTCTTGCTGGGTTGAATTATGCTCTTGTGAGATGACAGTTTTACAAGAAATTTTAAATAACATAATATGTTTTTAGTAGGCTTCTGGTATGAGGCTAGATAAGAAATTGGGAGGGTCTAGACGATAATGACTGATATCATATGAGAATAGAATGGCACCTCGTGTTGATTCCAAGGTGTCACTGTAAATTATTTTTACAGATTCCTCTTAGTCAGGTTCCTGATAGTTTAAATCCCTATTTAAAATTTCTTTGATTCTTTTAAATGTATCATCATGTTCAGATGTCCAATTAAATTTATTTTTGTTTGATGACAAGGGATTTAAAACCGAAGCTAAATCATCACTTTCAATGGAATTAAATGTCTAATGAAAGTAATATAACCTAAGAACCTTTGTAACTCTGGTACTGAATTTGGTATTTTAGAATCTTTTAAAACGCCAAATGTCTAATGTAAGTAATATAACCTAAAAACCTTTGTAACCCGGTTACTGAATTTGATATTTTAAAATCTTATAAAATATTTAATTTACTTTTATTAGGTATTATCTTCCCTTTGTCTATTTCATATCCTAATAACTTAAAATTATCTTCTTTTACTTTAATGAAAAATTCACTTTTAGGTATATTTATTTTTAAACCAAGTCTATTTAAACAATATAAAAATTTGTCCACGTCATTCATATGTTTCTGTAAGGTTCCTACCGAGCTTATTAGAAAATCATCAACCCAAAATTTGAAATTTGTAGTATTTGTTGAAAGGGGATCAAAAAGTCCATGATCGTCCATGTTTAATTGTTGATTTACAACAATTCCCCAAAAAAGAGGTTTATTGCTCATACCTGTTATGGGTGCTAGGAACCTTACACAACATTCAGGGGTGTAAACTTGGGTAATGTTGGAGTCTAAGGTTTCTTGGCTTCACCTCAAAGAGTAAAAAGCATTTGTCAGATCAACCTTACTTAAAAAATCATATTTAGACATTATATTCTTTAAAGGTTCTGTAACTGAGGGGGTCCCTGTAATATTATTTAAGTTTGCATTTTCAGCTAATCTAAATAATATTTAAAAATTTAGTATATCATTTAATGATGCACTTTCTTCCTTAGACAAACTATAGGCCTTTGTCATTTTTGGCAGTTCTTTAATTAAAGGTACATCTATTAAGATAGGCTTTCCATTTACATCCTTTATTTGGCCCACATCATATGAAAATTGTGATACTAAATTTGTAAATTTTGTAAATTTAGAGATTAAAAAATCCCTTTGTTCTTTTGTATAAGATTCTATTAAACTGCATTCTACTGTTTCATTCGGTTTTTTTATTGGAAAATGTAAATTAGGTAATGAAATTCCTGGCAATTCAGCTAACTTTTCTAACGTTGACTTTTCAGAATTTTCATCAAATATATTGTTTAAAAACATAAGACTTTGTGTATTGTAATATGATTGGTTAAATTTACACTATTTATTATGAAAGGGAAGCTGCATGTTTTTGTATCAAAGATTATTTTCAGACCTTCTGGATGCTGTAAAGAAAAATATCTTCTTCATTTATTATTTCTACTCTTATTGATAAAGTTTTTGGTTTAAAAGTAACTTTTTTATTTGAATCATTTTCAATAAAATTTGCAGTGAACTGTTTGTAGCTATTCCTATAGAAGGAATAACAATTGAGCTGCTGTCCATGTCGAAAAAACTTAAATATGTGTTATCATTTATAAATTGTTTGTTTTTTATGAATAAAATTTTTTCCTACTTAGGATACAACGTTGTTTTTGTATTAAAGAATACAATTTTGTTTGTTAGTTACATATGCTGATGGAATAAAAGATTTGTTACAAAAGATTTCAATAGGTTTAGTAAAGTTGATTTTCATTTGAAAATTTTTTAGTAACTCTAATCCTAGAATAAGTTCATTTGATTTTTCAGGAATAGATAATTGAGCCTTAAGAACTGTTTTTCCTTTTTTATTGTAAATAGCTTAGCACCTATAAGGAAAATGTACTACCATAAACTCCTATTCCATATTCTGTTTTTTTAATACCATCTTCAAATGCTCTCCAATTCGTAAAATTTTTGATTATATAATTAATAAGGCCTATTAAGCTCCTCTCAGATCCTGAATCACAAAGTGCCATAAATTTTATTTTATTAATGGAAATGGGAATAGTAACCTCTGAAATAAAAGATCTTTCATTTACAGATCATAAAATATTAAAGTGTTGAAAATTTTTTGTAAACTGTTCATCTGGATTTTTCAATTCAATATTATTTTTACTAGTTGAAACATTTTTACATTTTTTCCTTATTTTCTAACAATAATATGTTATGCTTGATTCTATTCATATTAACTAATAGATTTTTTTTGTAATTTTTTCAGTTTTTGTTATATTTTTCATCAAAATTGGGACAGAAACTAGTTTTTTGAAGAAAAGCTTTTACATTTTGAACTTGGGTGATAAAGTTTAACAAACATTGAGCTGAGAGATTTACTTCATGGTTCTTGAGATGGTTCCTGACCTTTATTTTTTGGGCATTGAACCGATTAATGAGACTGTTCATTACAAAGATCACAACGCCTAAAGCAGGAAGTTGCTATGTGGCCTTTTTCTATTAAATTTTTTGAATTTACAATATTTATCAATGTGTCCTTGTTTAAAACAATTTTGGCATGTCTTAGTTTTAAAACAATTATTATTTTCATGACCAGGTTTTTCACATATTATGCAGTAATGTTCCTGATTTACACTGCCGTTTTCTGTGGTTTGAAGCATATTATTCCCTTTTGACTTATTGGTTTTTCCAAAATAAGCATCTATTTCTACCTTATACTTATACAGAATGTCAATTATATTTGGTAAAAGCGGCCCAGCTAGCAAAATAACCGATTTCAGTTATACCTCCTCGTATATACGACAGGCTTCGCCAGAGTTGGGCGGAGCTCCGATCATCATGTCCTATGTAGGTCCTGGCGGTATAGTAAACGGCACCCACCCAGATCTGTCGTACATACGATGTAGTATATACTACAGCGCAGATATGATCTCCCACATCTGAACACTTCGATGTCGGTACCATGTAGTATATACTAAACTTTGAACCTTTGTCTGGACTATGTGGTAGATACCCTCATTAGTATAGCTGAAGATTAAGTGCAAGGAGACTCAAGGTAACAGTGTACACTCTGCAATTGTGTACACTCACGCGGTTTCTTAACATTTATTACCAACTTTAAAAATAAGAATATCTACAAAAAATTTGATCAAACAAAGGTTTTAAGGGTATTGTTGTAAATTGGACTTGCCACTCTATGAATGGTAGGTCACTTCAGATTTCAGACCATTTAGATATTTGTTTACATAACTTTTAAAAACAGTGAATAATAGTCTAGAAACTTCTATTAATCTGGATGAAAATAAGTTCTTAATATTGAATGCATTTTTAATTTAAGCTCAATTTTCCTGTGTCACGATCATCTAACTAACTTATCATATCTATAAGTCAAAAAAGCTATCGCTAAATGCATTTCTACTAGGTTATATTTCTGATAATGATTTTATATTATTTTTTAGAATGGAGGAAAATGTGGGATAAATAAATATTGTAACGATTTTTATTTTCACATTTTAAAAATATATATCTGTGATCAGTTATTTGACCTTCTAGTGGCTTTAAGGGAAAAATATGAACATTACCGTTAGTTGTACCTTGTATTTACTCCAGGTATACTNTTGACCCCCCCCCTGTAGTTTTTTTTTACATAACTCCAAAAGAATTGGTCTGAGGCTGTTGAAACTTTCTTACTTTTCCTTAATACCCATAGCCCTACCTGTAAGTCTAGAACCATGCTTTTAAACTTACTGCTGTGTCTTCAGGCACACTGCCTGAAAGACTACTTTCAATTGTCAGATTTTGATCATTTTTAGTTTTTTGGAAAGCCTATGACATAAGGAAAGGGATTGCAAAGATTTGAAAAGAAAATTTTGCAAATTATTTACATGCAACTTGCCAAAAGAATCTTTTTTAGTTTTTCTTAATAATACATAAGTTATTTGAAATTTGGAAAATTGTTTTGCATATTTGAAATGGCATGGTCAAGGGCGTTTTTTTGGAAATTTGTTTTTATTGCAAACATTTTTACTATATAACAGGATATTGCAAAAGAATTTATTTATCGAAAATTTTCAAAATTGTATTGCGTATTCTAAAAGTAGAGCATAAGAGCTTTCCAATTATGTAACATTTGACATAATTGGACATCAAACATGGGATTTAGAGGGCCCCACACAGCCGATCCTGGTTTTCAAGTCCCCCAGTACTATTTTTTTAATATATGATTTACTTTTAACTACGATTTTGGCCGCTATGTGTCTCTCCCAAAAGAAATCAGGAAAACAGAGACACCTTGTGGCCAAATAATCCTTGTTTAAAGTATCTAAATTAAAATAAAAATATTATGTGATATGAATTATGCAAGAACGCATCAAATACAATTCAAAATTTATAGATTTTAATATCTGAATGATTAATTTAAAACAGAATTAAATTATTTATGATCTGAGTGGAATAATGCAACTCTGTGAAATTGTCTAAGGGTTAAAAGATCTTTGACCCTTTCCTTATATACGCTAAAAGAAAAAGTAAAACTAGCATCCCATTGATATTGTAATAAAGTAGATATCAGCCTATTACACACTCTTTCATTTTCCACAGCACTCCCTATATTCATGAATTAATTTAGTCTTAACTTTCATTTTGGGATAAGTTTCTATTTTAATTTGAAATTTAATAATTCTCCTGATTGCACTTCTTGCCTGTTTGTTTGGGACTGCAGAGTGTATAATTGTTACCAGTCCTAGGCAAACAATATATACAGTAAATTTCTAGATGGAACGCCCTGATATTGATTTCAAAGTAAAAATATAGAGAGTGTGGTTTATTCAGTAGACTTCATCTAAATATTCTCAACAGGAAATTTTGGAAGATTTGTCTCACCAAGATTTATGTTGTTTTTCAAGCCAAAAAACTCTATTTGTTCAGTAGTTTAGACATTTATTAAATACAAACAGAGAGACAAGTCAATTATATATATATATATATATACATNTATATTTGGCTTGTCTCTCTGTTTGTATTTAATAAACATCTAAACTACTAAACAAATTGAGTTTTTTGGCTTGAAAAACAACATAAATCTACAATTAACACAAGAAAAGGGGCCCTTCAAGTCTTGTAACTTATCAAACAAAATCTTGAAGCTGTTGTGAGTACTTGATATGAAAATTTTATGAAAATTTTATAACTACCTATTTGTGATACATTGCAAATATCATAATTGATATTGATTTTAAAATTGGTGATATTTATGAGGGTTAGATTATCAGGATGCAGGTTAGGATGTACATGAGGTATATTGGAAGCTACTGGTAGAGTAGGGGGTTCATGTACAGCTGCAGATGTTTTATCTAGAATTTAATTTCTTACAAAGTAAATGGTTTGAGTTTCAAACATTTTTACTTGCGCCAAGGGATGTGTATTGTGTAGTTAAGGGAAAATATTTCAAGTTTGCAGAATTTAATGCAACATAAATTTCACAAATTTACATTTTGACATAATTTTGCATAATTACAGACAAATTTAGAGAAATTTCTCAAAATTAATATAGGAAAATCTCCTAGAATTACAAATTATTTGAGAAAAAATGTCATCAAAAAAGTCTCAAAAACACTGGTTGATTTTGTATTGCATAACTATGTGTAATTGTTTTAGTTCAGCAAAACTAAAGTTTCTTTCATACCCACATTTAACAAGTAATTTGGTGCAATGCTCATCACAAGTGAGAGAAATTGTTACAACAAATTACATGTAATTTTGATTAACATAATTTCTACTGGAAATCCTAGAAACATTGTAAAAAAGGTTTTTGAAAATTATTTGATGGTTTACAACAACACTTCCATTGCACTTTTTTTTAGAATGCCTAGAGTAAATTGAACTAGCAAGCCATAATTTTTAATTGCAGTGGAAATAAATCAATTTGTGTTATTGAGTAATTTTATATTAAAAATAACGGATTCTTTAAATGAACCATTTATAAGTAATTTATAAGTATTTACCTTCTAAGCTCAGCTGAGCAGTGATATTTACTTTAGTTTTAGGTATACCATTTTTCCAGTCCTTAGATGAAGATATCTCATATTCAGTGATGCTTAACTGAACAAACCTAAAGGGGAATGGGCATCTGTGAGCCAGTCTCTCTACATAATTTTAACCCTTATTAGACTGAAGGGATTTAGATTATGACAATAAAACAATGACTTAAGAAAGTATTCATTCAGTCCCCTTTTAAAAGGTAAAAATCAAATCCCTGACCATAATTAAGTTACTTTAGACAAGCTACATATGTAAGTGTAACAAAGGCAAAAAAGATTTAAAAAATACAAAAATCCAAAAAGTTTTAGATTTTTAGCGTTTTTAAAAACTTATTCAACCTAAATCAATATTCCAGTTTCTCTGCAAAATTTTAAAAGAATATCTTAAAAGATAAAGATCTGACCTCCTTTTATGCATTTGGCACAATTTTTACATTAAAAATAATTTTTTTGTCTTGCTCTATTGATTTTTAATGCACAACAGTTTTTAATCAAAGAAATCAATAAAAAAAGAAAATCTGGGAAAAATTTTGTTTAGGGCTTTTTTATTTTCAGTCCAGAAAGTTAACTAAAAATATGATCTGGATCCAAAGTTTGAAAGTAAAAACTTCTAAAATGAAGAAAGGACTTAAAATTTTATTTCTTAGCAGAAAATGGCTGGAAAAAAAAAAATAATTCATTGAAAAAATCAGGAAGGATATTACCCAACAATAATACAGGTTTAATTTGCACTTAAAATCAAGAAAACTTATATATTTTTTTTTTTTAAATGCAAAACAATGCTGAAAAAATGTTGTTATATTTTTTTATTTTTTACTTTTTGAAAATGCATTCCTAAATGATAATCACTAATCTGACCATCATGCAAAATCTCAAGAAAATAGCTTCAAAAATGAATGTGTGCCCCCCTTTTTAAATGCTTGTCATTTGAATGTATAAAGTGCCCATTTTTTTTTTATTCTTCTGAAAATCTCAATGCAATAAACTACTTTTGAAGTACTGGGCCTTCTTTGATTTATTTCATAAACAAATACTCTAAATTTTTTATCAATTAAAATTTTAAATATTGCATAAATTAAATGGTTATTTTCTAAAACATCATCTAATAAACAAAAAGATCAATAATAATTGCTTTACAAGTATCTCTGTAATCAAATATCAAATTGCTGAAGTATCTCTCTATTTAAATATCAAACTGTTAAGAGAATCTCGTGTATTCAAAAATAAAATTTTCTGTATTGTATAAGCAAAATATGAATATGAATAAGAATAAGTCTGAGATACAGGGTTCGGAAAGATAATTCTTTTTCTGACAATTTGGCTACCTGCTGGGACATCCAAAAAAATTCATTTATTTTTATTTTCAAAATTAGCTGAAGTATGATTAAAGGATAGAAGAGGAATAGACGATCAAGAAGAAAGAATAAAAAACAGTTACTGAAATATACATTTTCAAGAAGTTCTCATCTATCTGTGTATGGTTGGACAGAGTGTTTCCCTCACGAATTCGCCTTATTTCCCTATTTCGAGTATTATTCCTTTTGTTCGGCTCACAGAAGTATGATTAAAGGATAGAAGAAGAATAGACAATCAAGAAGAAAGAATAAAAAACAAGAAATAAAGAAGTCTCAAAAATTTTCATCTGATATTTTATAAAAATTTTAAAGTATGGTGAAATTTAATTAATATAAATTATTAAAATTCCAAAACAATATCAACTTTCTAAACATTTATATGTTTATAAACGTATAAACATCAAATTACTTAAAGTATCTCTTTATTAAAATGTAAAATTTCTAAAAGTGTCTTTGTATTCAAATATCAAATTGCTAAAAGTATCTTTGTATTCAAATATCAAATTATTTAAAGCATCTCTGTATTCAAATATCAAATTGCTAAAAGTATATCTGTATTTAAATATCAAATTGTTAAAAGTATTTTAGTATAAAAATATCAAAATGCTAAAAGAATCTCAGTATTAAAATATCAAATTGCTAAAAGTATTTTACCTTTCTCTTGATAGAATTCCTTTATCAATGATGAAGAATACCATCGCTATTAAAACAGCTATCACATAAAAAAGTTTTTCCCTTTTAGATCCTTTACACCTGTCATGATCAAGAATTTCCACATTTTCTATCTACATTTTTTTGCATTTTTGATTTATTTTTGAAGTATAAGCTTTAGAAGAAAGAAGCAAATTAGATAGATACCTTTCAAACTACAAGATCTTTTAATTGTTTATCAGATAATGGTTTAAAAGGTATTGTTGTGAGTTGACCACTCTTTGAATTGAGGCTCATATAATGTGACATCCACTGTCCTTGAAAGAAAAATAACGGTCACCAAGAACTTAATTTACCTGCAGCAACTAGTCCTCTTTTATTTGTCATTTTCATTCTGGAAAAGTATGCGATGTATCATTCTCATTATTCTCATCTTTGTCTTCTCACAAAATACACATTATTAATTCCAATAGTAGGATTGTTAATCATTTTTAAAAGTGATCGTTTTTTTTGGTCAAATGACGTCATAAATATAGTTGCACTAACGCCCATACCACCAGAGTTACATTTATATAAAAAAGTATAGGAAAAGTAGTTTACTTTGTGACACTTTATCTATTATATAAACAAAATGATCTTATAATTTTCTTCTCCCAACAGGGCTGCAGCTGAAGATTCTTAAAACATAACTCAATCAGGTGTTCATGGTTTTAATGTAATTATATGTATTTGGCAATGTTGTGTTGATAGTGTGTGTTGTGTTGTGCGTTTTTTGTACATGTGCATCATCCAGGGCTAACTAGAGTGAGAAGTATTCGCTTTCTTCTATTTGAAATTAAAGTTTTTTGGTCTATAATTCAGCAGTCCTTTGAATTATTTGACTGATTTGTTTATTCTATACGTTTTAACTGAAAATGTATCCTTTACTAAAAATATTAAATATAAAAGTTTTAACTTGCATTCACTATGCGATTTAAGATTTGAAACTAACAAAACTTAACAAAAGAAGCACATTAAATAGATACCTTTCAAACTACAAGATCTTTTTCAAGATCTTTTTATTGTTTATCAGATAATGGTCTTAAGAGGGATTATTGTGAATTGACCACTCTTTGAATTGAGGCTCATATAATGTGACATCCACAGTCCCTGAAAGAAAAAAAACAGTCTCTAAGAACTTAATTTACCTGCAGCAACTAGTCCTCTTTTACTTGTCATTTTCATTCTGGAAAAGTATGCGATGTATCATTCTCAATATTCTCATCTTTGTCTTCTCTCAAAATACACATTATTAACTCCAATAGTAGGATTGTTAATCATTTTTAAAAGTGATCGTTTTTTTGGTCAAATGACGTCATAAATATAGTTGCACTAACGTCCATACCACCAGAGTTACATTTATATAAAAAAGTATAGGAAAAGTAGTTTACTTTGTGACACTTTACTTATTATATAAACTAAATGATCTTATAGTTTTCTTCTCCTAATAGGGCTGCAGCTGAAGATTCTTCAAACATAACTCTTATCAGGTGTTCATGTTGTTATTGTATTTATATGTATTGTGCAATGTGTGTTGTGTTGTGCGTTTTTTGTACATGTGCATCATCCTGGGATAACTACAGTGAGAAGTATTCAGTTTCTTCTATTTGAAATTAAAGTTTTTTGGTCTATAATTCAACAGTCCTTTGAATAAATTGACTGATTTGTTTATTCTATACGTTTTAACTCAAAATGTATCCTTTACTAAAAATATTAAATATAAAAGTTTTAACTTGCATTCACTATGCGATTTAAGATTTGAAACTAACAAAACTTAACCCCAAAAACTAGGCATTTAGGGTGCCCATCTTCTATTTTAAATTTTAATTGTGGCTTTTTAAAATTATGAGATCAAAAAGTCAACTTATTTACAAAAACTTTATCCTAGTTTTAAACTAGTTAAATACTTGGAATAATAAATCTTAAAAAACTCTACTTTTTCATCCTGGTTTTTGACTAGATCAATAATGTTATAAAAATTTCTTAAGAGAGTCAACTTTTTCATCTTAGTTTTGAACCAATCAAAAACTTGAGTGAAAAAAATCGTGAAAAAATTCAAATTCAAGTTTTGGCTAGTTCAAAACAAGGATGAAAAAGTCTACTTTTTACAACATTTTTAGTTAAGTTTTGAATTAGTCAAAACTGGGTTGAAAATCATCAAGATATCCTTGAAAGATAAAGATTATTTTTACTTTTATGATATTAACATTTTAAAATAAACCATCTTTATAGAAAAATTTCTTAAAGCGGAAAAGGCTTGGATTTTATTTCTTATATGGATTTCTCAGTTAAAAGTAGGGTTTCCACGAAACAGTCAATTCTCTTACGCAACAGTTGCATGGTTTTGCAGGTATCATGGCATCAATGCACAAAAACATCAAAATTTTGTAAAATTTTTACTCAAGACGTAAGCAAAACTTTGCACAATTTGTGTGCAAAAATTTTTGACTGGAAACCCTAGTTAAAAGTAGAATGTCAAAATTTATAAAATTTACCAATGTTTAAAATAATTGAATAAAATGATGCAAAAACGAAAAACAGAATAAATAAGTGTTTTGTTCTGAAATGTAGATTATGAGATTCTTTATTTTTATCTAGAGCTGTATCAGTGTAAAAGCCTAAATAATTCATTCATGGTTGAATATCATTTGAATATCAGGTTGAAAAAATTGAGTCTTTGCCACAACTTTTTTACAACCTGATGCAAAGTGCAAACCTTTCAAACTTATTTAGATTATTTCATCAAAAACAATACAAAGTTTGAAATATTTAAGATCTACAACATTGAAATGCAAAAAATTTAGAAAACCAGAGAATTAATTCCTTCTTTGCCATATTTCAAAAAAAATGTTATTTTGGTTTTGAAAGGGGAATAGATCGTATTTTCCAAAATAAAAACTTTTAAAAACAAGTTTTAAAAATAATTGAAAGCCCCATCCCTAGCTTTAAATAAGTGCTGAATATAATTATGTTAGTTTACGTTGTATTATATTTTAGATATTTAAAACTTAAAAATTGCTTTGACCAAAAATTCTGTTTTTACCTTAATGCAGTGTGTTTCGTGTGAGTGCTAAAATTGGTCTGTATTTGGAAAAGAAATTATAATTGCGAAACAGAATTCAAGCTGTTCTTCAAGATATCCTTGATAGATAAAGATTATTTTCACCTGTATGATATTATCATACTNCCTAGTAGCAGTACAAAATAAATTAGGCTCTGTTCAGTGGTTAAATATAAGATAAATAAATGACTAGTTTGATCATTTGGACGTCAAAACTTTGGTCATGTCAAAAGTTTGGTCATTTTGAAGTCAAGAGTTTGGTCATTTGGACGTCCAAAGTGACGTCATTTGACTTCGAAAAGGTCGTGAGGACGTAAGAATCCTTGCGTTAAACCTCCTCAACACCTAAAATTTAAATATGACTTTGCCAGACCTCCCACTGGTAATTATTGACGTCCGCATGACGTCCTTTATAGGACAACCTCTGGTTTCTAGGGTCAGGTATGCCCTTCTTTAAATGGAGGATCATTTGAAATTACATTTATGAGTCAAGAAGAAAGAATAAAAGTCAAGAAATATAGAAGTCTCAAAATGTTTCCATCTGATAACACATTGAAATTTAAAAATATTGTGAAATTTAATTAAAGCAAATTATTAAAGTTAAAAAATGAGTCCCTTTTAAAGTTAAAGTAGATAGTCCGCAGCGCTTTCTTGACTCAATTTCATCCAGATTGATTAGATTCATATATACCTATTCAGAAGACAAATAGTACCTCAAACAATTGTTATACTTGTTATACTTGCAAAGTACAGTTTACAATGGTATTCTTATAACTTTTGACTGTTCATCGAGAAGAGAGATTTTTCTGACTATAATTATCGAAACCCGCTTGAAAGTAACTATAATTGATATTTCTCAAATATAAAACAGCTAACAAGTAGGGTTGTTAATCGTTTTTGTAAACGATTGTTAAACGATCGTTTTTTGTTTCATTTTCAAAAACGAAAAAAACGAAGGTTTTAAAAACGACCCACTCGTTTTGTACTTTTAGAAAACAAATAGCGATTGTTTTTGAAAACGATAATTTTTATTTAAACGATTTGCGACCGTTTTTTAATATGATTGTTTTTCAAAAAACGATTGTTTTTGAAAAAACGATCGTTTTTGAAAAACAAAATTATTGACAATTATGTTAACGGTCATTAACAAAGGGTCGTCGTTAACAATCGTTAACAAAATGTCGTCGTTAACGATCGTTAACAAAGGGTTGTCATTAACGATCGTTAATGAAACGACAAAATTTATCAAAACGATCGTTTTTGGAAAAAAATTACATGCAACTTTATTGAATGTCGTCTTACATGAAGTTTAATAGTTGTGGGAGAGTTAAAACTCCTTGATATTTTCTTAAAAACATCTCATGATATGTACAGGTCGGTTTTCTCTCTTCGTTAACGATCGTTAATGAAGGGGTCGTCGTGAAAAATCTAGTTTTGCCCCGCAAACCACCGACCTAAACCGACCTTAAATCTAGGTTGGTTTAGGTCTGAATTAGGTCGAGCTATGTCGGATGACCTTAACCAACCTTAAACGACCTTTGGTGACGTTGATTAAGGTCATTTTAGGTCGAGTTAGGTCGGATGATCTTAGCCGACCTTAATATATAAGGTCATTTTTGGTCAGGTTAGGTCATTTTAGGTCGCATCATTTTGCAAGGTCATTCTTAAGTAAATTTAGGTTATATGAGGTCGGGACCAGAATGACATTTTAAACTATTATTTCAAATTTGAGGTTTATTAAAAAGAGCATTTCTCTTCTCAAAATTGATAAAAATATTGTTTCCGTTAA